TTTTTTCCTTTAAGACATCTCTATAAATATCCTCCAGCTTCACAAAGGATTGAGAAACTATTTGGAGATTCAGTACCCTAGTTTTAGACGAAACTGATTAGCTTTCATATTCCTGGCCTAGGTTTCTAGAAATGAGACCCTTATTATTTGTGTGACATTGTAAACATATGCTGTTGGGCATTGGGTCCCTTCTGACCAAAGCAATTTTAGCTATAACACTGTAAGTAGGTATAGTATTTGCCTATAAAATATGCCTCAGGCCCTGGTTTTCTTAGTAATACAAATATTTCATTGTGGATGTTTCTGCTGCTGCATGCAAGATTATTTTTTACTTTAAAACTGTATATGACCATTTAGTAAATAAACATGGTAAGTAAACCTATCTGACACTTAGAAGGCATATTATTTATAGCTTTTAAAATGTAAAAAGAAGTCTTTAAGTAATGAGATGTCTATCAGATTAACAAATTTCCCAGAGTTGGATTCCTTCTCCTGCCCTGCACATTAACAGCTCTTTAGTTTATCTTCATGAATTGTATTATGGTTTAGCCTTTGATTAAATAACATGAAATGCTTTTCTCCTGCAGATGTGGACAAAGTACAAGAAAGCAGAAATTCAAAAAGCAGGTCTAGGGAGCAACAAAGCTCCTAATTCTATTACCCACTACATGACATGTGGGCCAAGTGGTGAGTTTCTTGCTTAAAATGTAAATGAGATTAGTCTCATTTATACAGACTAACCGAGTTAAATATAAGAACAAGTGCAATTGCATTAACAGATGTAAATATTGCTTGCTTAATTCATGACCTTCTGTCTTACTTACTAGTAAAGCAAGATTAGTTGATTGCCCTAAGTTTTTGCCTGTCAGTGCAGGAAGCAAACCTTTAAAAATTATTTTTCTTTTTTTTCCTCAATTTAAGTTTGATTTTACTAGTGAATAATATTTTAGGAATTCATTTTTTAGCTTGAAGTCCTTTTTTGTGATACGAATACAACTTTCCCAGAATGTTCTTAATTAATTGAGGAGAATAAATGCCTTTTGTATGAAGAGCCACTCAAAGAAAAATTGTCTCTGACTTTCTGTCATTCTCATTCCTATAGAATACCTGTATCTTGTGCATGCTGTTCTTATATGGCTGCTCTGTATTTTATATCTCTCTTATCTTCAAGCTTTTCTTATATTTTCTTTCTTCTTTCTACCTTCCAACTAAATACAGAGAGAAAAGTGTCCTTCAGTTTCTCAGTATGAAGCCTTTATTTCTGAAGTAACAAGACACCCAACTATAGGAATCTTTTAAAAAATCTTTAAGGAGACTTTAAACAATCCTTCGTGACTAGAGCAGGCAAGAAATACAAACCTTCATTCCTTCCTTGAATCAAGGAGCACTTCTGGAGTCAACTGCCAAAATTTTTAGAAGGTTTTAGGACTTACTACACATTGTACTGTTAAGATCTACTGCATAAAGGATGTTCTCTCGATAAGGACCAAGTGTTTTAAGGTTTCAAGAAGTTCTCCAAGAACAATCTACTTCTTTCATCATTTGTTTATGAATTTATCCATGTTTGCTTAATGCTTCTGCTAAGTATTAGCCAAAATCTAGCCATTTATATTTAGTTGTGTAAATCTAAATTAAATGCTGTAGTATGTTGTGGAATGTACTATATATCAAGATACAGAGAACATTGTATTGGCATGTCAGAGCCTTATTTGGTTAGCAGGCTGCATGTGTTAGTATTTGTTTTTTTTTTTTTTTAAGCCAATTATTTTGATGCACTGCAAAAGAACTTCAGTTTATGAATCTGGAGAATCCATAATGAGATAGGAGTTATAAAAAATTTACAGTAATATTAATCTTTCCATATTTCCCATTAAGAAACACTAAGCATTCACACATGGATCCAAGGAAGTTAGTGTTTTTCTGAGACTTTTTTTAGTAGGGTGGTTTTCCAGCAAATGGCATTCCCAAGATAAAGCTGGTGTGTTTTAACTCATTTCCCTTCTTTAGTATTGGATTATGTGTGTGTTTGTTTTTTTAACTTGAGAGCTGACTGTTGCTTAAGAAGTTTTCTTATGGCAAAAATAATGTAAATAACTTACTATGATCTGCATTTTGCCAAGAACTCAGTTATTATTCTTAAGGTTATCACTTATTAATAAGAATTTTTGTTTTTGTCCTTTATAATATTACATTAAAGTTGGTAACTGTTATTGGTACTTTTGAAATATTTGTATGCATTTGTTACCTTATACATTTGAAAGAAGCACAAAAAAAGTAGATTTAGTTAACCCAGGGAAACATCAATTTTTTTGTAGTTCCAATTTTATATCACAATTTTATTTTCTTATGAAATCAAAAAATGCATTGATACTTATTAATACAAATTCATTATTTAACATAAATATCAGAATAATCTTAAAGGTCTGAAATGAGGAAGATACTGACTTTTTTTATTTTAACAGTATACTTCTTAGGCTCTCATTACCAGCTCTAAAAAATCTTTTTGGAGTTATTCCATAGTGTGTAGTTTATGAACTATGTATTTCATCACTAACCTGGTTGCCATGAGAAATGTGTCTCTCTCTCCCTCCCTCCCTCTCTTCCTCCCTCCTTCTCTCATCCTCCTTTTTTTTGGTAGGCCAGTAGCAGTGTTGTGTTCATAGTCTACTTTTAGAAAGACCATTAATGAAAAGAAGACAGCATGTATAGTTGACCAGAATTGAAATGGAAGTTAGAGAACTTGGACTTAGTTAACTTAATGCCACCATTAACTTAGGTTTTGCCACCAAATAATGCTGTAAAGTTAAATCACTTTTAAACTCTTGGATGAAAGGTGCTATGTAAATGTAAATACAAAGGATTCTTACTAAAATACAAATATTGCACAACAGACATATTTAAAACCTATTCTCTAGGCTTTGAAACATCTCTCCATCATGACTCCCTAGATTCAAGTATCAAATTGATAATGGGCATCATGGCAGTCTAGAGACACTTGCATGTAAAAATGTAAATTCATTTTTAGGTGGATAAATTGAAAGTAAATATAGAAATTATGTTTTAGCTAAATACAGTAAGTGGGTAACTTAGATTTATATTAACTAGCATCTAATTTGCACAACTAGGACACAACCCAGGACAATTACTGAAAGTTGAAATTTAATGAGTAGGTGGCCCAGTGAGGGTGAATGCTATCACAGCTTGACCTCTCCAAGACACTAATATCCTAAAATAGAGAAAATGCTTAAGGGCAGCCTATAAAGTACTGAATCTGTAGGCTGACCCTGAGAAAGTGTAGTTCAAGAGACAACCAAGGGACACACTTGAGACTGCAAAAGTATGAACATTCTCAGTCATATTCATCACCTTTCTCAACCATTTCAAGAAAGAACTAAATAATAACCACATGAATATTTTACTTTCTCCAAAAGATACTGTCAGAAGCAAGCTTAGTAGGAAGTCACTCCTTTCGCTAAGATAAACTACTTCTGCCAAACAAAATAGGGCCAACCAGAAACTAACTGGGGCCATTTTCTGTCTGGGGTCTGACATGCTTTTAGTTATCTGGCTCTATTCTAAAGCAACACCTAAACCCCCAAGGAAATGGAGGAATTCAATTTACAGGGTAATAGCTTCAGCCCAGAGCTCCAATTCACATCTGGCCATGTAGAAATGTTTGGTCCAAGTTTTTGAGCTGGTGGTTACCAAAGAGTTCATGAAACAGGTTTGTATGTAGCACCTTTCATGCAAGGCATGGTAAGAGCCTATTTAAAAATCACTGTGTGTATTACAGAATTGCAGCCACCTCACAAATGAAGTATGACAGCTTGTACTGTCTTAAGAGTTTATGTCAGGAAGTGAAAGATACTGTACCAAATCTGGAATTACAATGAGGAGTAGTAATGTACCCTAAATGACTTTTGTATTTTAAGTTACATTTTATGAGAAAAGTGAATTTTTGTCTTTTTATTTTCCACTACACTTAGTCCTGAGATGTATTTTTTTCTTCAAGACTTGAATGAATACAAAAGGAGCCCATTTTATAATATAAACCTTGATGTACATGTTGAGATATTTGGACAACAATGAAAATGCCTTAAAAGGAATGCTTATGGATAAAGTTGCACTTCTAACACCCTTTAACAAACCTGATTTTAAATTGTCTTTTTCTTTTCTACTAAGGGTTCTCTTTTTCAATGTTTGCCATTGTACTTATAACTGTTATTAAATATGAAATCAAATAATATAAAAGCTGTAACATTTCCTTTGAAAGCAATGCTACTGAGGAATTTGGAGTTGAATGGCAAAATGTTTGTTACTTGGCAATACTTAACATCAGCCACAGAAATCCAGGTTATAACAAAAGAGACACCATTGTTTGGTTGATTTGTCTTCTTTAAAACATTCGTATTTTTCACTTTATTTCTCCTTAAAAAAAACGTTAAGTTTGTTTAACATTCACTTATCAAACTGATATAAAAAGAAATAAAGCAAAGAGGTGTTTTTATAACAAGTAGTAATTATTTTAAAATTCTAATATGCAATTTCAGCCAAGTGTTATTCCTTTTCCTTTGCCCTGGAAAACCTATTATCAGACATAACCCATAACCTTGTTTAGATGATTCTGTCCTAATTATTTTAGGGTTAGTATTAGAGGTTTTGGGAGAAAGAAAAGAGAGTCTATCGGTTCTGTCAATTCCCAGATAGGTTTAAATACAATAATAGATTGTACAATCAATCTCTTTCACTTTCACTCACAGTCTATGGGAGGCAGAATGTTAGAGACAGCAACTGGCCTTGTGTCCCTGGGCAGGTCCGTCTTGCTGGGCCTGTTTTCACCAGGAGGGAGGGAGGGCAGTGTTAGGCCAGTTATCTAAGGTTCTCAGTGTCTTTGATTCTATTCATTAAACCTTCATTTTATATACAAAGCAACCTAAAATTGCCTCTTTCTTAGAGATAGAGAGTACAGAGTAGGTAAAAACCAACATGGCACCCCAGAATAAGGTTATCATTTATGGAAAATATTTATTAACTCCACATCTTTTCATAAAAATTCTGCCATGAGCAGACATGTAGTTTCTGATCATATATATCAAGAAATGACAAGTCTTTACTTTTAGTAACACAAACCTAGTACAAATTAAGTACAATATCTCTCCCGGATGTAAATTATTTGAGTGATCAAACTTAGGAAAATATGTTTATCTTACAAATATCCCATTTGATTATACTACAGGCAAACATGAGAATTTTCATGATGAGACTCTAGACTATTTTTGTAGCATAGTGTATGTCAGGCCCTCGACTAATGAAGGGTTTTGTTTGAATTTAAATGAGGTTTAAAAATGTCAATTTTCCTCACTCTGTTTTTTAACTAGCTTCCAGATGACAACTGACAGTACATTATCCTGGGTTCTTATACTGTTTTAGATGCTGTAATTGAAAGGGGATGAGTAAAATTTAATACAGCTTAGAGGATAGAAGAAATTTGTCCAAGTATGTTCACATTTCTAACCTCTGAACAAGCACTAAACAAATCCTTCTTAATGGCCTATGTATATTCTGCTACTTAGTTTTAAAATGTAATTTTACAGGGCCGGCCCAGTGGCACAGTAGTTAAGTTCGTACGTTCCACCTGAGTGGCCTGGGGTTACCCGGTTCGGATCCCGGGTGCAGACATGCCACCGTTTGGCAAGCCATGCTGTGGTAGGCGTCCCACGTATAAAGGAGAAGAACATGGGCATGGATGTTAGCTCAGAGCCAGTCTTCCACAGCAAAAAGAGGAGGATTGGCAGCAGTTAGCTCAGGGCTAATCTTCCTCAAAAAAAATAAAATAAAATGTAATTTTATAAGCATAATGAGTGACATATTTTCCATCCCTATGTTGTTTTTTCTAGATTAAAATTTTTGAAAGATACACTTTTATATAGAAAGTTAATTAGCTTATTTTCCATTGGAAAAAAATCACTAGTTTAAAAACAGCCAGCCAGTAATAGAAAGCTTTTGCCCTTACCCCCATGTTTGTTCTAGTAATCTTCCTAAGGACTCCCATTCCCCAAAGATAACCACCACAAACAATTTAATATATTCCTATGTTCCTTTTGATTTTTTTCCCTATGTGCACACTGTCATGTATAATTTTATATATGCTGTTTTTGCAACTTGCTTTTTTCAAGTATAATAAACACCCTAAAGGAGATGCAAGATAGTTAACTAATCTTAGTTTTGTTTTTTTGAGGAAGATTAGCCCTGAGCTAACGTCCACCGCCAATCCTCCTCCTTTGGCTGAGGAAGACTGGCCCTGAGCTCACATCCGTACCCATCTTCCTCCACTTTATATGTGGGATGCCTCCCACAGCATGGCTTGACAAGCAATGCCCAGGTCCAGGCTCAGAATCTGAACTGGCGAACCCCAGGCCACTGAAACGGAGTGCACGATCTTAACCGCTACACCACTGCGGCTGCCCCTAACTAATCTTAGTTTTGATGTTAATTCTTAATTGTTGAAGGCATCCTTCATGAGTAATTGTCATGGGGAATGGCGGGGTGGAATCTCTGAGCTGACTAAAACTACCTCAATACATCTTTTTAAAAACAACTTTAAGATGAAACATTCCTCCTGAAATGATTTAAGCTGTCACCAAACCAAGGAGCTAAATAGTCTCCTCAATTGTAATGCTTTTTGTAAATTACAAATAAGAAAAACTGCTTTCAGAAATATATTGTAAACATTAGCCCAATTAGTTATTTTTATCAAAATTTAGTATTATGGGATCATGTCCTGTCTTCTTCACAAATGTGAGAAAGTCTTCAGGGCTCAATCCCATGGTTGCAGCATTGGTCATTGGATGAAAATACACCTTTTCATGTCCACCTTCCAGAAAAGCAGAATCCAGAACAAATTTCACATCTCCATCATCACAGAAGAGTGCCAAGGGTGTGGCACAGCCTTGACCAACTTTCAGTTTTTCTAGCATGGCTGTTTCATCAGCAAACCGCAGATTTCCACTCCCAACACCTAACTGCTTGGCAAGATCATTTAAATTAATTTGTCTATCATGAAGAACTGTCACCAGCCAATAGCCTTTTTTCTTTTTGTCTTTAAGAAATAAGTTCTTACTATGTGCTCCTTTCAAATGCTGGATATGAGGCATCATTTCTTCAACTGTAAACACCTGTAAAATATCATGAGAAGTTTAAAAATAATATGCATGTATATACACACACTGCACACATGCACTGTTATATGCATTTTGCTTGCTGGATGAAAATAGCAAGGTTAGGGAGTACCTAATGCCTTGGATTTCACTGGTAGAGACCCATTCCCAGCCAATTACCAAAAAATTGTAAGTCTTTGCCATCTCAATTCCTCATCTCATGGGACCTCCAGTAGTTTCTCTTAGGCCAAGTCTTTATTCCAGTGTGCTAGCCAAGCCCTCACATTGCTAAAATGCTGCTTTTTTTTTTTTCTTTTTTGACTTTTGGTACCGGAAGTTTATAGCAGCCCAAGATCCTATTCCTTAGCATTCTATTACATCCAGACCATGTGACAACCTCCACTCTACAAATACGTATGTATATAAATAACCACAGTGAGAGGATGAGACCTTGAACAAACATAAAGAACATCACAAAAGCTGGCAATATGCACACGTAAAGAAGGGAGGGAGAGTGTGTGGACTCTACCGGAGGAAAGAAGGTCAGAGAAAATGATAGTTTTGATTTGTAAAGGTGAGCAAGACTTGTAATGTATTTCTCTATCCTTTTAAGATCACCATGTTTAGCTATTATCATTAGCTGTTTCTCAAGCCTTGGGTAAAAACTTTATGGCCCCACATCTCGCAAGTTACACACTGGTTCCATTAAATATTTGCAAATCTTCACATCAATACACTAAATTATCAAACTCTCTAACCTTGTGTCCTGCTGTATGCATGATGACCGACACATCACAGACACTGCAAAGACGGTTTACTGCTTCCTAACATTTTATCTACACCTAATGTGGACATACCAGCATCCTACACCAGTTTAAGATGCGCACGTTCTAAATATGGTGCGCTAGTTCTCAACATGAAATGTGATCGAATCGCTCCAAGAGGAAAACAAGTTTTCGCGCAATAACATCATAGTCCCGAGTCGAGAGGCCTTGGATATCCCTATCGGGTCCCTTTCGGACTCGAACCCGAGAAATGCCCTGGAACAGACCTTTCTGCGGCACATTACTCCCGGGACGTATGGTCTTAGTAACCTCGCCCGAGAGACGCTGCAGCAAAGCCCAGGCCCTCCGGCCGGGCTCTCCCGGGGGAAGCGCCTCACCTCGGGGTGCTCCACGACCTCCGTGCGAATGGCCAGGGCGTCGAGCCGCTGCTCGAGCTCCGCCCGCATCTCTGCGCCCGCCATGCTGCTGTCGTGGCGGCGGCGAGAGACAGAGGGAAGAAACTATGCTGGACCTTCCGCGTCTGTGCCGACTGGAAGCTGAGACGGAAGCGCAAGGAGAGAGTAAGGCCGGCGCCGGAAGTCTAGTGCCGGCGCCTTCCGGAGGCGGGGCTGCGCCGTCCTCTGCCACCTCACCTGGCGCGTCCCTGAAAGTCTTCCGCGGAGACGGCCTTGCAAGGTGTGCGGGGTTTCTTACCCCGGGCCCACAGCGCCTCCCTCTTGTGGCGCCTGCGTTCTCATAGCCTACGTTGATCCGGCTGAAGATTTCCTAGTTCCAGCATATTTTACATTTAAACTGAATCAGAACCGCTTAACAACGTCCCAGCTTAGGGATTGTTGGAGGAGATCATGGAGAAGACATAACCGCCAGTTGACCCGCTAAATGGACTCCGGCAATCCGAGGCTCCTCACCCTCTCCCCTGTCCTCGGAATGTACTTTCCGCCCACGGTACCAGGGCTGGGAGCAACTTGAAGGGTGCAGCCTTGAGACAGCAATGTGTTATTGAAACCGTCTGGACTGTATGCGTGGTGAGTCTCTTTAAAGCCTCTATGTGAACTCTTCAAACTCGAGATTCTGGCCAGCGGGCATGGAGATCTACTCGTCTTGCAGCCACGCAAGACAAACCTTTTCTGTAAGTTCCCTTTCTTATTAAAACTGCCACCTACCAATCTGGAGTGGTCTGCCTCTTTCTTTAGCTTTTCCTTGCCCTCTGTGTAAGAAGGCCACTTTCGGCTTTCACCCAGGAACCCCCAAGGTTGTGAACCAACTAGGAAAGTGGAGGAAGCCAAAATCCCTATTATTTTAAGACTTTTCAACTTTTAGTTTGTAAATTACGTTACATTTTACCTTTTCTTAGTTTTTGTTATTATTCATCTACGAACAATTAGCCGAGGCAACCACGACTCACCTTTTCTCCGAGGTAGTTTGCCTGCCTCTTGGTGGGATGTTTGCCCCTGTCCTGTGAAACCCACACTCACCCCTTGAATGAAGCATGAAATTAATTCAGCGTTAGGATTTCATTGGTGAATTTAGATTAAGCCTCAAATCCCAAATGAAACATAGGTATTCCTAAGGACGTTTAACTCTAGTGTGAATGAATTTAGGTTATGTCTGGAGCGCAAATTGAAGTCCTGAAGAAGAAAGCCTCTTAATAAGACACAGCAAAGGATCTGAGTCCTCACTCCTAAAACACCCTTAAGAAAGCTATGAAAGAGGAGGAAATCAGAGTCGGCTTCACAGTTTCACCCAAAATTGGCCCTGGATAGCGCAATTTTAAAATGCAGCTTAACTCACCTCTTAAAACTATTAAGCCATGTTTCCCTTCAAAGACTCCATCCAATTCTTGGATCTCTGATTGTAAAACCAACAACAGGCTGCTACCCTTGGCCTGGTAAAATCAGGTCAACATCAAAGCAACATATACCACATTACAGAGTGTTTAGAAAACATAGACAAGGGGCAAAGGATCACTCAGAACATTTTTTCCATGTTTATTATCTTATTTCCCCATTTGAGAATTAGCTTTGTTACTGTCTTAGCTCATTTAGCCACTGAATGAATGTTAATGCGTTTCACGTTGATTTATATGAGCTCTTTATATAATCAAGTTAAGTGCCTTTTTGTCATATCCTCAAAATAGTTTTCATTTTTCCCATTTAAGGAGAGTTTTGTTGTTTTTTTTTTTTTTGGAGGAAGATTAGCCCTGAGCTGACTACTGCCAGTCCTCCTCTTTTTGCTGAGGAAGCCTGGCCCTGAGCTAACATCCGTGCACATCTTCCTCTTCTTTATACGTGGAACGCCTACCACAGCATGGCATGCCAAGCGTTGCCGTGTCCGCACCCGGGATCCGAACCGGGGAACCCTGGGCCGCGGAGAATCGGAATGTGGGAAATTAACCGCTGCACCACCGGGCCAGCCCCAAGGAGAGATTTTGTTTGTTGGTTTGGTTTTATCTAAACAAGTTACTCGTTTTTGTGTAACCAAATGTCATTCTTTCCTGTTTCAGTTATTCTGATCTAAGTTTAGAAAGCTAACCTGCAGCAGTAGAATATTCCATCCATTTTCTTAAGAATATTCAATTCATTAATTTATTTAAAATTTACTTTGGCATATAAGGTATGGTGGGGCTCACTTTTTTCACTAGGTTTCCCTCTAAGAATGAAATTATAAAGCATTAAAATAGCAAAGATCACCCATTTGAAGATATTGCATATCCCAAATGATTGTCATTAAATGCTTGAAGACTTTCAAGAATACCCAAATCCAACCATGGTGACCTGAGAGTAAACAGGGGAAAGAAGAATTGGAATCTGATTCTAAGAAGTGTAAATTATGTCCCAAAGTAGGAAAACACTAACCAAGGGTAGGATCTCCATGATGGCTACAAATAGGAATTCAAAGAGGAAAAATTGGTAGTGGCATCCAGCACTTGATCTAGGCAATAGGATGTTCTTGATGCGGGGTCGGTGAGCCGAGGAGTCGAAAGAAAGATTTCTTGGACTCTCAAGGTCTGGCAGTGGTGCTCTTTTATTTAGAGAATAGTATGGAATAGCATGGGGACAGGACCCATGGGCAGTGAAGAGCTGTTGCTGCTGCTGCATGGGGACAGGACCCATGGGCAGTCAGAGCTCCTGCTGCTGCTGCTGCAGCTGCATGGGGACAGGACCCATGGGCAGTCAGAGCTCCTGCTGCTGCTGCTGCTGCATGGGGACTGGACCCATGGGCAGTCAGAGCTCCCGCTGCTGCCCTGAGTTGAGGGTTAGGGCTAATTTTATAAGGCACGGGTACGTGACTTATTTTTACTGGAAAAAGAAAAGATGATGTAAAAAGTCATTAAATGATTTCAGTGCAGATGGGGTCTGGTTATTGTGCGGTCATATAACTTTTAGATACAAATCTGGCCATATAGATCGGCATGTAGGTGAGGATGCCCTGGACTTCTCTCCCTGGGGCAGCCCTAATTCATAACATAAAAAAATCCACCGGGTCATGTAGTTTGGCATGTAGGCCAGGTCACCTTAGGCTTCTCTAGCTGGGGCAGCCTTAATCCACATCATTCTGACCTAGAAATCTCTTTGGAAATGAACTGCTATCCATCAGTTATGCAAGGCATGAAGCTCTCTTCCCTTCCCCCACCCTCAGCTAATCCATCTCAATTCAGTTTCTCAAATCCTTCCACTTCTCACCACTCCATCACCCTAGCCCAAACTATTTTCCCCCAGTCTACACTAATGTTCTCTGTTTTTTTTTTTTAAGATTTTATTTTTCTGTTTTCTCCCCAAAGCCCTCCGGCACATAGTTGTGTATTTTTAGTTGCGGGTCCTTCTACCTGTGGCATGTGGGACGCCACCTCAGCATGGCCTGATGAGTGGTGCCATGTCCGTGCCCAGGATTCGAACCAGCAAAACCCTGGGTCGCTGAAGCGGAGCACACAAACATAACCACTCGACTACAGGGTCAGCCTCTACACTAGTGTTCTCTTAATTTTAGTCTACGTGTGGTTGAATGACCAAGTATCCTGCTCCAAGTGAATCTTACACCCAAAGATTTTTATTATAAAATAGAACTAAAATCTGTCTATGGTGAAAAGAACCTTGTATTGCTGTTTAAAAGCTATCCTAATTCAGGTTTAATGCAGTATTTATTTACCAAACATATATGTCAGAACTATACTAAATACAAAAGAAATGTTATCCTTGGTGTGGTCCTTGGTCCTCAAAGCAAATACAAATTTACTTTGGAAACAATAACATGAAACAAGTTAAATTCAAAATTAACAGGATGAACTTGAGGAACTAGATAGCTAATCACAACTTGAATATGAAATCTCATGTTTCTAGGAGAGGGGAAGCATCTGGAAGAGGATTACCAAATTATTTTACAAACAGGTAAAGACCTCATAAGTGCAAAGTCTTGTGGCATTTCTACAAGAACACGTGGAAGGAAAGACCCTTGCTATCATTAGGAAGGGTACGGGAACTTGGCAGGTAAGGACAGAATCTGGAAAAGAGAGCTGAAAGATGGCATGCCAAGGTCCGTGAAGAAGGTACCTTCATCTTATGTGTGCTCAAAGCAAAGAAACAGCTACAGCTGTACCCTACCTGGCAAAGGAAATGAAAAGGCCAAAATTGTAAAATATTTATCAACACCATGGGGACTGGGCATCGTTGCACTTATTAGGTGAAGAATGTTAGAAATCGTCATTATTGAGTGAAACAAAGGGCAATTCCAGGACAGGTAAGTTGAAAGCCATCCTAAGAAGCTGTGCATACTCAAAAAGAAAGTGAGACAATAGGAGAACATAATGCTTGCTGCAATCTGTGTCTCTTCAATATATCTTTTGGAACATCTCTATGTGCCAGATACACTATGGTGCGTCTATATGTACCATGTTTTCTGCCCTCCAAGACCTTAAAATCTAGCAAAGAGGAGTGAAACGTTCAGAGTGGATAAATCCAAGAAACCGTGCCTAATGCAAGGATAGTGGCATGAGGAGGCTGCTTTGGGAGCCCGGAGGCATCAGGGAAAGCATTAGGGGAAGAGGATGGTGGTTTAAAGGATACGTAGGAGTTTGCCCAAAAAATCTGCTCCAGCTGAGGAAACTCTGGAAGTTGAGGGATGGAGGTGAAAAAGCACAATGTGTCCCGGGGCATTATGATTTGATGTGATAGTAGAGCAGGAAGAGAGGCCTGTCAGCAGGAGACGGGCTGGAGCCCGGCACATAGGATCCTACATTCTGTGCTAAGGGACCAGGAATACCCTCCATAAAGGGACATGTTAAATAAACTAGGTGACATCTTTCTAAGGAATTCTATATTCTCAATTGTATTCTCAATATTTAAGGATAGAGGGAAATACAATTTAGTAAATAGGGAACGTGAATTATAGAAGAGTATAGACAATATGGCACCAATTTTGCTTCAAAATACACATTCCTGTATAACAGAGTAAGCAACTTGAAAAAAAGGCTAATATTAGCATCTTCTTTCCCTAACCCCAGTCCACAAAAATTGGTTTCTAAAGTCCCAAGGAAGAGGATTCATCCCAGGACAGGAGATGATACAGGTTAGTTCCTAGAACAAGGGA